TTATTTACTCTTTGGTTAAGATCTGTTTAGACTTTAAAAATTGAAGAATTTTTGCTTTCTATTTTTGTTCTTTTTTTTAACAACATATTGATTCAAACAGAGAATATGGGAACGGAAATGGAAAATAACAGAGACATGAAAATTAAAATAGAAACATAGCTTGATTGAAGCAAAACATCTTTTTAAAATGGAAACAAAGCTTGATTCAAGCCTTTAGTAAACTGAATGTTGTCCCACTCTAAATGGAAGCATTGATTGATACAAGCAACATTGCTTGAATGATTCCCAATTAAATCGTTGTAAACTTTTCAAAATTGAATTAGCATATTTTGAATCATTAATGGGTCCTACTTATTGAATATTTAGTCTGTAATTACTTAGATATGAATAATTATTCTGAGTATAAAACAAGGGTAATATAAGAAAAAGAGTAAATTGAAATAATTAATACATATACAAATATGGAAAGTGACAATCAATTTGGGACAGACGAAAAAGGAATTATGTACATACAATTTGGGACGGAGGGAATATAAATGTACTTTCGTGATTTCCAGCTTGCGGTTCTGGCTCCACCTACAGAGAAAACATTCAAACTGCAAAGGTTGAACCTGAGTATCACTATCCATCACGTACTCCACCTATTAATGAGAGAATTTTGTCATCCTTGTCCCAAAGGTCAGTTGTTGCACACCCTTGGCACGATCTTGAGATATGTATGTGATATAGCATAACAACCCTATTCTCTCAACCCTAATCTCTTTATAAAATTCAAATTGCGCAGTCTAGAATTTCACATAATCGGGCATGTATGTGAATTTCATCATTTGCAAATGGAGAGATGACACAATAGTTTTTTCAATACAGGGCATCGAATTACAACTCAAACAAGTTCATGTTGTTCGTATATATGGCTGGTGCAGTGTATGTGAAATAATGGAGGGGGAGTGGTTGGAGGATATTTCACATAATCAGGTATTCAAATACTCAACATAATCAGGTTCTGGTGCTACTAAACTCGTCTCTTTACCTGTTCGGAATTATAAGAAGGATCACAAAGTGTTGAAGGGAATTCAAAGAGGTACCCAACTACTTAGCAGTGCACTCTTTTAGTCCTTTCTGTTCAATTTTAGGCATCCCTTATGTGAGCTGTGAGCAACTAATACTTGCTTCATTACTATGGGAAAATTTCGGAGTTACTGTATACTTTTGTTACTATTTTAGTTAATGTGCTTACATTCCCTATGTGGGCTAGAGAGCTGCTCCACACTGAGCTAGTGAAAAACTTCAACGCGGTGGCTGATGCTTTTGAAGGTTGCCTTTTATAGCTGACATCAGTCTTCTAATTCTAAATCTTTTCACCCTAATCTCTACATTCCTTTACTTCAGAATGCATCAGAAAATACTTAGAAGATGACGGGTCTGATATTTCGACTGTCATGGACGAGTTCACTGATGAAAACTTGAAACTGTGGTACCCAATAACATATAGCAGGTGCCAAGCAACACTAAACTCATCGTCAAAACTTGAAACTGTGGTACCCAATAACTTGTTTTGCCCTATTGTTTGTTTTTGGAAAAACAATATTTGTTGCTAACTTCTCAGGAAAATCTATTAATTTGCTCAGGCAAGTTCAGCAAAATGGGAAACACCAAATGGGAGGTTTTGGCATTGCTCCTATCCATGGTCAGAATATTATAAAGTGGGGGTTGTTCTTTGATACTGTGCCTACGAGGTCATGGCCCTTCATGGTGTCCTACAAGATGAAATACATGTAATTTTCTCTCTCTTATACCTAGTTACTTACCAAAATGGATTTTGTTTACATCAGTATAAGTTTTTTCTCAATGGATCATTAGCTCAGATGGTAGAGTGCTTGAGAATAATTGCGCACTATTACATCTCAAGAGATGGTGGTTCAAGTCCATCATGATCCTCATATTTTCGTATTATAATTTCTAGACATATTTAATTCGTTTCAAATGAAAATGTACGGAGCGTTTACGGATGCAAGAAAATAGGAGTTGTCAAACCAAATTAAGCAAGATATGCTCTTCTGTAATATGGTGAACTATTAAACATTAATCTTCATGTCTATTTATGGATGTTCTTCTGTAGTCTCATTGTATATTATTGCATATCAAAGACTCAATGTATAGTATACAACTGTAATAATTAATGTTTTAGGCAACGTACTTTAAAAAGTTAACCAATATAGGCAACCAACTTCAAATCCATCCAATTTGAGCAATGTACTTTTAATTTACCTTCAATTTAGGCAACCCATTTTTTTCTGTCAAATTTCTTTAACAGAACCGTTAACTTCTGATGACATGGCAAAATTAGGCCACGTGGCATACGGCCTATGCTGGCATATTGTATCTTATTAATTTCTTCACTTTGGATAGAAGATATATTTTCAACATTATTATTAAGATGAATAAATTCCGAATATTCATTAAATTTTTAAACTCATCCTCATTGATAAATTCCCAATTATTATCTTGTATAGTATAAACTTCTTCCGATTTAAATGTATCTAGAGGTTGTTATACTATCTTAAAAATGTTTACTTCTATTCTTAGATTTCCAAAAGTTAAGAGCATAGATTCGTTTCTACAACCGATAGAGTAAATGTATACCTAATATAATTAGTGTAGAAACATCGGTAGAGTGTTGAATATCTAAGATTACAAAATCAACGGGATAATAGAAATCTTCAACCTTAACCAAAACATCTTACACGACTCCTCTTGGTTATTTGACACTACGATCGGCTAATTGAAGTGACATCCTAGTCGGTTTAATTTTTTTTAATCCAAGTTTTTGGTACAAGTAATAAGGGAGTAAGTTCACACTAGCTCCCAAATCTGAGAGTGCGGTACCTTGACATCCATCACCTAGTATGCAAGTTATTGTTGGTTTCCCCGGATCCTTGTATTTTACTATTCCATTTTGTTCGATAAAGGAAGGCAATTGCTCGGTAAAAAATGCTTATTTAGGTATATTAGTTCGTCTTTTAATGGTGCATAATTCTTTTAAGTATTTTGCGTGTTGAAGCATACTTCAAAGAGCGGTGAGAAAAAGTATTAATGTGTAAATTTTTGAAAATTTCTTTTATCTCATTAAATTGTTCTTCTTTATCATTACTTAAAAGTCTATGTGGATACGGAGCTTTAGGTATATATCTTCTTACTTCTTTTTCTTTTTCTTTTTCATTGTTTTGAGAAGTAGATTCATTATCTTTAGGAATAGTAGACACATTATCCGCATTAATATTACAAGTTGGAATTTCAACATCAATTATTGGGTTACTTGAGCTAGAAGTGACATTACTTGAGTTTGTATGATTGACTATGTCATCTTCGGTTGACATTACTACTTTATTATTATATTCTTTTCTCGAACGTAAAGTAGTTATGGCCTTAGAAACTTCAAAAAACCTTTTGAATTACTACTAGGAGGATTACTAGTTGAAACTTCAAAAACCTTTTGAATTGTTTTGGATTTTGAATAGGTTGTCCCAGAAATTTTCCTTTTTCTTGTTCGACATCTATTTTAGCAACTTTATGTTCAAGTCTTTCAATGATTTTATTTTGATTTGTTTGTTGTTCAAGTATCTTCATTAAAAGGGCTTCATAATTATTTTTAGGTTGCTCGGCTTTTTCTAGATTTTGAACCGAAGGTTGATTAACTAGATTGTTATTTCGATAACCTTGAAAGTTATTGTTTTGCCTCATATATCCATTAGGGTTTCTATTCATGTTATTTCCTTGAAAGTTTCGTGGGTTTTGATTAAAAGGTCTAGCATTATTTTGATTTCCCCATCGAAAGTTTGGATGATTAGCCCTTGTTGGATTGTATAAGTTACCTTGAGGTGGAGGATAGTTCTATTATCCCAAATACCGTTAACTTGTTCTTGTTCATAAGTAATGTGTGGGCAATTATCTTCATTTTGATCGGTTTCCTTACAAACTTGACATATTTCATTAACGTTCATGACGGGGTTGGGTTGGTTACCTTGTAAGGATAGAGCTTCGACTTTTTTAGCTAGATTTTGAATTAAAGTTTTTACTTCTCCATCTTGTTCTATTTTAGCCGTAAATTTAACTTCATCGACTCCAGGGATGGGATTAGGTGAGTTTCCCCAATGTTGAGAGTTGTCCGCAAGTTTTATAAAGAAATCATATGCATGTGTTGCGGTTTTACTAAGGAATTGACCCTCATTCATAGATTCTACTAAAACACGAGTAGCAGGGTTTACACCATTATAAAAGCATTGAACTAACGTTTCCATAGGAATTTGATAATGTGGACATTGTATTTGTAACTCACCAAATATTTCCCAAGCTTCAAAAAATTATTCCGTATTTTTTTGTCCAAAAGGTGATATGAATACACGTGCCTTTTTCCCTCGAACGCATGCAATCGAGCAAATAACACCCAAAATGGCAAATTACATAATGTAAATACCTGATTGAAACACGTACCTTTGTCCAAAAACTTAAAATTCTGAAAAAAAAATTTTGTTCTTTCTATCCAGGTCGCCCCAGGCGAGTTGAGCAGAATTCTGAAATTTTTTTTTATTATT